GGGGGTTGGGGTTCAGGAGAGTGCGGCATGGTGCTCAGGGCAGGGGGTTGAGGTTCAGTAGGGATGCGGCAAGGGGCTCAGGGCAGGGGGTTGGGGTGCGGGCTCCAGCCTGGCGCGGCTTACCTGGAGCAGCTCTGGGGTGGCAGCGGCGCGCAGCAGGGCTAAGACAGGCTCCCGGAAGCGGCCGGCACCACATCCCTGGGGGAGGCGGGGCGGAGGGCTCCGTGCGCTGCCCTTGCCTGCAGGTACCTCCCCCGAAGTTCCCATTGGCTGCGGTTCCCCATTCCCGGCCAATGGGAGCTGTGGGGGGCGGTGCCTGCAGGCGAAGGCAGCGCACGGAGCCCTCTGCCCCGTTTCTCTCTCCCCCCTCTCCGGGGCCACAGTGATGTGGTGCCAGCCGCTTCCAGGAGTGGCGCGGGGCCTGCGGCGCCATGGGGGTGGCAATCCCACGGGCTGGATCCAGCTCGCAGGCCGTAGTTTGCCCACCCCTGTTCTAGTATGTGCAGCTCTCAACACAGGCACTTCAATTTTTAAAAAAAGGTCAGGGAATTTAACATTGAGATTGCTGCAAAAGCACAAGGGGACTGAGTTGAGATTGCATGGGAATCCTTAATTCTGACATTTCCTGACTTTTGAGTACGTAACTTTTCAACCTTAACATTCTTTTAATGATTTTTGGAGGCAATTTCTGAACTGAAAAAGATAAAACAAATTCCATCACATGGAACTGTATCGATCCCCACTTGGATCATTAGCAGGGTGTTGTCCTTTAGATCCATACCATAGAAACTCCGGCTAATGGAGTAACTGATAGCAGTAGTGTGCTGCCATCCTCTGTGTGGACCTGCCATAACTGGAGGATGACACACACTTGGCCAGTGGGTTTCACAACTATTTGCCATGAGCAAAGAAAAGTATAGGTTGAGGAGTTCCAGGTTCCTCCAGGTTCTACAGAGGAGTGTACTTTTCTACCCCTGCACCCCCTCCAACACTGTCTCTGTGCTCCTATCTACCCCTATCCTGTCCCCCTCCTCTTCTGCTGCCTCCCCCACCAGGTCGTGTATCCACTGCATTTCCCCTTCCAGCTATTGTCCTATTCCCCTCTGTTTTTTTTCTCCATCCTCTGTCTCCTCTTGTAACTCCCTTTCACCATGTTCCCTCCCCCTATTCCTTAGCCCTCTGCATCAGCCTGCTTTCTCCTCACTTCTGGGATGCTAGTGGGGGATGAAGAACAATTTGAAATTTTCATTAATGGGAAACTAGGCAAGTATTTAAGAGGAGTATTAAGGTGTGACTGAGGTGTATTAAGTTGTGGAATAGTCTGTTGGGAAAAGATGGAAGCTTTGTCATTTGTGACTTTTAGAACTAGATGTGACAAAATACTTTCTGCTAGAGAGGATAGTCATGGGTTGGCTGGGAGATAGAGTGGGTAATCTGATAGAAAAGACCTACCTTTGAATCTAGGGAACAGATTGTAGCAGCACTTATCTCCACTGCAGAGCTACCCACAGAGACTACACAATGCTCAGTCTTGAGTGAATAATCTGACTGGCTCTGTGGTCTCTGGGCTACACCTTGGCTAGTGCTCTGGGACCACATTTGGCCTGGAGGCTGCACTTGGCCTGCCTGTTTGACATGTACTTTGAAGCCTAATGCAGCATGGCCTGTCTTGTCTGCTGAGCACAGTGCCCCTTCTCCTCCACTTTGCATTAGTGCTCGTTCACTTTGTCTTTTCTCATGTTACGCAATCTTTAGCTCCCAAAGTTAAGCAATGATAGATGTATTGAAAGATGTTAACTTGGTTCCTTGTCGTCTTCCTCCTAGGCCTATCTCACTGATTTCCTGTGTCAGTTTGCACAGCAGCCTTGCTATGCAATGTTCTCAGACCATCTCAATGAGAACGAGAGAAGAGTGCTTGAGGCCATTGGCATATGAACCGTGCAGAGACCATATTGATCATATCTGGACAATATTTTTCTGGCTTATTCCATGTTTTGTGATTAAACATGAAACTTTTTCCAGTGTTCACCTGTTGTTACAGATGTGATCTTCCTCATCACGAAGTATTGAGCCTTGTCTTATCATGACTGTTAAGGGAAGGATTATTGAGAAAGCTCCGAAAACTGAGCTTTGCACTCTGCTCTCACCAAGGGAACACTTTCGTTTTTCACAAAAAAACTTTCCAGGAGGTCCTTAAAATAATGTGTCCTTAAATATTTTTTAAAATAAACTTTATATTTGCCTCTGAAGAGGCACATAACTGAGTTTCACAAACACGGTTGGACAGAACGAGGAAGGAATCAGGTCTTTTGTAGGTTGCTTGGATGTGTTTTGAGACTTTGGAAGTTTTGTCCCTCTTCTCACTTGCATAACACATACAGGGTAAATATCTTCATCTTACCATGTGACTTTTTTATAGAACTATAGACACTTTTATCAAAGAGATGCCTAAATGGTATGGAATCTGTTTACAAGAGTTGGGATGGGAAGCTGAAATAAAATTAAATGAACATCTTGTTTTGTACTGTGGGTGGGGGCTTCCATCTAGTCTCTAACATTGCATCAGTTCTTTGCTAAAGCTTTTGCATGCACATGCTGAAAGGAAGCTACCACTTAAATCTCAATTCTTGTGGAATGTGGCTACTGAAGACTGGTTTTACTGAACACAAACAACCATCATTTTTTACCAAAAAAAAAAGAAGTGTATATTTATCATTCTCTTTACTCCATAAAAACAATTATCTGAAATACTTTGCTTCCTTCACACTCCTGAGACTTGTATGAAGTGGGTAAGCTATAGTCCACAAATTAGTATGTGTATTTTTATAGGGTGGTAAAATAACATCACAAACTGATTTATCCATAAGTACATAGTGATGTATCTCACAACACCTCTTTGCCTTTTGTTCCCTGTTAGGGAAAATGAAAATAAAACTACTAAAATATATACACTGGTATTTTCTTTTAAAACAGATTTCTAGAAGGAAATCATTACATTTTATATGTATTTTTATATGTATTTACCCTTTAAAACTTCTCCTTTAACTGTACCCTAGAGACTATTGGCCTCGTCTCATAGTAGTCTTCTGGGCAGGAGGGGAACCCTGTAACTGACTCTGCAGCTTCCGTTTCCTTTTAGGCAGAATGAGAACCACTAAAACCCCTTTTCCTGTAGGGTCCATCAGGTAACTCTCTTCAGGGAGTAATGTGCTGCATCTGCAAACCTTCCTTATAAGCAAGCTTGCCAAATAGCTCACTATACCTGTGCCAGTGTTGGTCTTTTAAATTGTTAAAGCGGGGGGAGCCTAATACAAGACTGTACTTCTCCCCACAGCTCCTCACAAAGCTTGTGTGACCTCAAGCCTTGCTGGTCTAATTTAGGATGTGGTTCTTCTCTCTGCCTCAGCTGAGATAACAAATTAACTCTCCTTTTTAATAACCCAGGGAAAACTGGTGCCCCAGGTCTGAGGGTTGGTGGTTCTTAGTTTTATTTTTCCAACATAACATTTTAAAAGGCAACATGACTGCCCCCAACTTCCTGAAGCAATGATGGAAATAGGAGAGCCAACACAATCTGTCATTGCTTGTGAATGGAGTTGAAAGGATTGAGTGCTGTGAGATGCAGTAGGATGTCTTCTACAAACTCTGACTTGTGTGCCAAGCTTGCTTTCTCAGAGTTTAATAAAAAATAAATGGCTTGAAATCCTGAGGTAGCTGTGCTGACGAATCAGCTCATCTCCCAAAATGAGTAAAGGAAGGCTACGTAATGCTGTAGCACCTCTTTGGCATGATAGCGGATGAAGTTTTGCTCCTGAATATTGGAGAGGACCTGTGCTGCACAGTGCATGTTTGTAGAACACTGGTACACAGTGGTGCTAAAAATGCAAAACAGAAAAGAGCGAAGGGCAGATCTAAACCACAGGGCATATTGCAGAATGCAGAAAAGAGCCATCAAATGTTAATTGTTTGATGTCCCATACATTGGAAACAGAGTTCTAAAATAGGATCATGCACACTTCCTGGTATATGAAAGACCAGACGTTTGAGGGTAACTGTGTGTTTTGTGGCATGGAAAATGGACAGACTTGAAGTCTGGCCAACTGATCTAAGTTGGTGGGGACTTCAGAGATGTTGATATGCTCTCCGCAGGAGGTCCACTGAAGTGCGATCTTACGCAGTGTGCACCTTAATTTTGCTTAACATACTTTGATTCTTCTTAAAGCACATTAAAGAATTAGATTATAGGTTTAAACAAGAGCATGAAACATGGAGACAATTTGATACTAACATTGTAGCTCTCCCTTATTTTGTGTTAAAGGATTTCTCTGGTGTTGCCAAGGCCTATCTCCATCTATGAATAAATTTAGGGGCAGCTTCTTCTGGAGCTCCCTTCAGTGCCCTTCATTATGTTGGTTAGCTAGCATCTGTTGCTGTCTAGCATGTCTATTGAATGAGCCATTTGTTCTTTACTTCCAATAAGAGCTACTGCTGGATACAGTGACATTGCACGAAACTGAAGGCTGGGAATGTGCGCCCCTTCAATAACTTAGTGCTTCCTTTGTTCAAGTACCGGTCAGTGTTCCTAAAACTTTTCAGGGTTACGCCCCCATCTTACCCCTGTCCAAACTCCCTCCCTGGGGCCGGGAGTGGGGCCATGGCTCTGGGGGGCAGATGTGGACAGGGTAACGGGTCCAAGGCTGGGGGCAGAGCTGGGGCTGGGAGCGAAGCCGTGGCTGGGGGCTAAGGGTGGGGGGGAGCCTCGGCTGGGGCCAGGAGTGGATTTGGGGGCCGAGCAGGGCTGGGTGGTGCTCCCTCCCTGCCCCCTGTGGGGGCTTGTCCAGGCCCCCGCACATCCTCTTAGGCAGGTGCACCCCACAGTTTGAGACCTCTGCAGATAAGGGGGCAGGAATAGCTTAGATGTTCTGTAGCATTGTCCATAATACTATTAATAACACATGGCTATTGTTGGAAAGTGTTTCCTGCCAATAAAAGTTCTTGTGACTGGAGTCTCCCACACGAAAAATACCTTAAGGACCTTAAGGGCTACAGTCCTCAAAAAAGGGGGGTGGTAGTCTAAAATGCTTGTCAGTAAAGTGGCCCAAATAAGTCTTATACTGATGTTAAACCCTTCCCCTTCACACTTTGTTCCCCTTCATGTTTTCAGGATTCTTAAAGGGTGGCCCTTATTTCCTTCTTTGAAGTGGATGATAAAGGCGGTTGTCACGCTGTCTGGAATGGTTCGTGACCATGAGTGCCAACCTCAGTGGAGACTGTCAAGAAGCAAGGCAGACACCCCAAACTGGTGGCATGGTCTATAATTAGATTTCACCAACCCAGTAACAAATGTGAACTCCTGAAGCACTATACCAGTCTTACCATGGAGTCACAAACAGTTCTCTTGGGCACTCCAGTCTATCTTGCCACCCAGGCAAGATGAACTTAGTGATAAATGGACACGCCAAAGATCACAAAATATTCAAGTTCCTCCAAGTCCCAAGAGATCAGTCACTTACCCCAGATCAACTTGTACTTTGATATGACACCAAAGACAATGCTGGTAGCCAATCCTATAGTAAACTAATTAAGAAAAGAAATTAGTTATTTACAGGTTAAAGCAGGCAACATGTATGCACAAATGAGTTAGTCTATGGTTTCCAAAATGTGACAGATGTAGTAGTGTGTCCACTGAATGTCTTGGGGCTAATCCAGGTTGCCCCTGGGGATGTCTGCTTTTGTTTCTTAGCTCCAGCCCTTGTGTGAGTCCAAACAGCAAAGAGATAACTATTTCCTCTTGTGAGTATCTTCATATGACTTTCCCCCAGAGTTCAAACCAATGTGACATGTGCTTCTGCATGTAACTGCCCCATCCCCATGAAGAAATCAATGACGTTTTTGTCCTACAATGGCCCATTTAGTTTTGATAGTCCTTCTTGATGAGCGGAAGCATTCTTCCTGCTTAGGTTCATAAGTTCAGCACAGGCACTTTTACAGTTATAAAGCAAACTTATATTTTACCTTGTAAACAAATTCCCAAGAGATTGTACAGAAACACATCAGCCCCTTGTAAGATAAGGAGAGGATGACATGATGATGGGTGAGGACATTTTGTTCAAAATAGCAGCTGTAAAGTATAAGGGCGATAACTTGTTTGTATCAATGTATATAAGGTAAAGTCATAGGAGGAGCATCTTTGTATTGGCCAAGGGGACAGAATCCTTGTATACACATTGAGCCTTTACCTTGTCATAGGCATACATGTGAGAGCCTGTGACCCGTTGGGTAGGGTGCTAGAACCGTGCTTTGCTGACAATAAACCTGGCCGAGCACCTTTGCCACCAAACCGTGCCTGTGGTCTTTCTTTACGAATAACATTGAGGTCTGCTGAATTGGCATGCAGCTGATGTTGGAGCTCAAGAAACACCAGCACTTAGCAGCATTAACCTTGCAGCAGTAACAATAGTTCTTCTTCGAGTGATTGCTCATGTGTATTCCACAGTAGGTGTGCGTGCTCGCCATGTGCACCGGTGCTGGAAGTTTTTCCCTTAGCAGTACCCGTAGTGGGGGAGCCCCGCTGCGACCCCTGGAGGGGTTCCTCTATATCACGCCATAAAGGGGGCTGTGCCCTCCCCCCACCCTCAGTTCCTTCTTGCCGTCAGTGAAGGTAGTCGGAACTTGTGCTCCAGCATTGCTGTAGCTTCTATCCTTGGTAGTACCTTGACTGTTACTAGTTTTCTGCAGTTAGTAGCCTGGCCTGGGGCATGCCCCGAGCCCCAGGCTTCAAGTCATGCAACTCCTGTCGCAATTCCATGCCCAGAAGCAATCCACACTCCGAGTGTCTTCGCTGCCTGTGCGAGGCTCACATAAGTGAGCGGTGTAAAATTTGTAAGTCTTGGTGGCTATCACCTCAGCCCGCTGGGTCTCGGAGCTTAGGGCCCTGACCTCCGAGCCCCCGTACATGGTCTTCCATAGGGATACGGTCCAGCTCCGCCCGCACCCAGCTTCTGCTGAAGGTAGTCTCGGCTTTTCACATAGAACAGGACATTTTTCTCCCGGTTTTCTGTCCTAAGCCCCATTCCTCCAATGAGGAACAGCGCCTGCACATGTTAG